CAAGTGCCATAAGTCTTCTAATAACTTTGCCATGGGTTGCATGATGATATCAGCCCAGTTCTTTTAGCATTCCAGGGTGTAGTTTGTCTGGTCAAGCTGACATATAGATATTTACCCTTTGTAGGTGCTCCCCCACAAAACTTACACCAACTATGGGAGGGAGGTCACCCCCCACCATGGTCATCCTGTATCCTGTCAAGCAGGCTAATACCTTTGGACTGGTGGACTATCAATGTGAAGTATTCATTCAGGAGTTTGGTTTTGTCCTGAGTGTCAGTTAACAGCCATCCCATTTCATTCATCAGAAGCCTTGTTCCTTTTGTGACTTTCTACATATCTAAAGAAGGACTTTTTGTTGTCCTTGATTCTGGTTGCCAATTTATGTTCGGTTAGTGCTTTTGCAGTCCTGATCTGCTCCATACAGGTGCGGGAGGCTGCTGAGTTACTCCTCTTTGGTAGTTGTTCCTGACTTCCATCGCTTGTAGGCTTCTCACTTTAATTTCAGGAGGTCCATGACTTCCCTGTTGAGCCAAAGGGGTCTCCCCAGCTCCTAACTTCATCAGGAGTTAGACTAAATCCCTATACCTGTTACATCAAAAATCAAAACTGCTGCCTCTCAAAAACAGTATTTATGGGCCTTTACAGCTTTCTGATCCTATTTCCCACTTTTGTAATCAGGGGTGTAATTAACATTTTGGCCCCCTGGTGGTGCAGAGGGAGTGAGCCCTTAGCTCCTCATGTGGAAGCCGCAGTGGTGGCAGCACACTTTCTGAATTGAAGCTTAAGGCCAGTACTCTGCTCACCCACTACAGGTTAGCAATAACCTGTTTTACTGTAATAGTAAGAAGACTACTTAAAAGAAGGTTATGATGAATCTCTGGAATGGTAAATCATCATATCAGCATTCCATAGCAGAGAAACACCAATTCCCTTCACTTTGGAAACTTTTCAAATTCTCTAAAAACTGTTGTCACTGGGTGTATCTACACATACAATTAATGCAAAGCAATAACCTTCAGACCAGTCTGAGCCAGAGTAAACTACTCCTGAGCACAGCATCTACACATACACCCAGGACAGCAGCAATTTGAGCCGGGGCAGAGCAGTTATGGGCTCGCAGAGGTGCATGGGGGGAGCGCAGGACTGGCTGGGGCACAGGGTTACTGACTGAAAGTGTGGAGTTGTGTGGCTAGGCAGCAGGCAGTAGTCTGTCCCCCTGCTGACCAGGTGCAATTTATACCTCTGGTCAGCATCTACACTGGTATTTAACTGCAGTACATTACCCTGCTGCAAGACAGTACTGACAATACTAGCTTACTGTGGCATAAATTAGTATACTGCAACTTAATATGGTCGCATGTGAAGACAATGATAGTGTACTTCACAGCTAATTACTCTACTCCATAGTAAAGCCACTGTGTACTATAAGGAATAAACTCTTAGTGTTTCTTTTCTACCATAGCAATAAGAACAGACATACAATATACTGTTACAGAAAGGATACATAGTGATATTAATTTTGAATTTCATATCAATTTGATTAATTTACCTTTTAACCTGGAAATTATTTTAACATTAAACGTTGTTCCAGAGAGACTGCCAGTGATGTGGAGGAGAAAGCAGCACACCTTGGGATGCTAAAGGGGCCAGGAAAGACCTAATGTGTGACATGCCACAAATTCAATTTAAAGCTTAACAACAGCTACCAAAATGGCCTACGTTTTTCAAGCAGCATCTTCGTAGCTGGCTGGATATTTTATATCTGGATGGGCATTTTTATTGTACAATAATTATTTTGTGTGTGTAGCTGGTCTAAATGTATAGCACAACTAACTAGTTCATTGCATAATTAATGTAATGTGTGTCAAGGCCCTCTGGTAGAATCAAGGAATCAAACCTAGATCTCTAGACATCTTTAATTACAAGGTCAAACTCTGGTCCTTTAGTTTACTTTTAATTACACTTTTGAGCTGATCTAATCATGCTTTTCTTTTCTTGTATATGTAAAAATATAAAAGATAAATCAATGAACCACATTTGAATTACCACTATGTGAAACAAAATGTTTTTTAAAAAGTTTACTACTATTTTTGAGATTTTTCTGTACTTCAATAGCACAAAAAAATATAGAGATAAATCTTTCTGTTTATAAAAGTGATGCTCTTTAATTTCTTTGCCTCTTTGGACACAAGCATCTAAAATACTGGATTGTTTATACTGCAAGACTGTATGCCCAGGGCTATACTGCATCCTAAAGTATATGCAACATTCTAATGGGAGATGTTGGTAAGAGGGGGAAAAAAAAAGAATCCTTTCCATATTTTCTTAAAGACCAGCGGGTGGACATCAGAAACAGTCAAATGTTGATTACTTAAATAAGCAACTGTACAGTTAAACACACTAAACCTTATTTTTCTTTTTAATTATTTAAGTTTGTAAAGAAGTTGAAGTTTAATAATTTAATTTTAGAAAATTCCTACTGAATTGAAGTTTCTAATGTATATTCCCAGGCCAAATGTATATAGTTCTGGAAAGTATGATGAAAATAGGTCAAGCTATTTTATTAGCTGAGACATCGGAAGTTATATATAAGTAAAACAAAATATTACATTTACACATGGGGTACTTGTCATAGTTCATATAAGTAAAATAAACTCTGAATATGTAACTTTTCTGTAACTAAAAACTACAGTACGTTTATTTTATTTAAATAATAACAAAATTTATTAGCTAAAACTCCTTCTAGCTAAAGCTTTTAACCTACTATTATTATTTGTAACTCCCAATGTTACTGTCACTAAAAGATCACATAAAATTGTTTTTATGTATTTCAAGTATTTTACTTGGGGTATAAACACATATTTGGAGCCATTTGAAAAGGATAACATTTTGAAGGGGAACTGCTGACTGAGAGTACAAGCTTGGAGTGATACAAATGTACCAGAACTGCTTGAACTTTAACCTTGAATGAAGCAGCCTTAACACTGGAGCCGTTTTGCGACTTCTGTATTGTTCCCAGCTTGTGGGTGTGTTTAACTGTTAGAACAACAACTGCTGCCAGGTCTGGAACAAGAGTCCCTCCTCCCCTTTTGAAAGGGTTCCAAAAGTATGTTTATCCATATCCTTCATATATTTGAATCCAGACTATACTTACTTTCTCCTGCTGTTTGTGCAAGTCTTTCACACAACCAAGAACTAAAACAATTTTCTTAAAAAAGCAACCAAATGTAATACTGTGATGGGGTACCAGGTTGGTACCAGGGCAGGGTACCAATATGGGGGAGAAGGGGGTGTGCAAAAACAGCAGCAGCCAGAGCTGACCAGCTGCTACCACCAGCCTGGCTACCACCTCTGTTCCATACACTGCCACTGCCCTGTTATGCCTGTGACCAAATGTGAACAAGCCATAAAACCAAACATGAGCAAGCCATAAAACTAGCATAGGAACAGTACCTGAAATGATCTATGCTCCTTTCTTAAATTAACTAGATTCAGTTGATGCTGTTTCTCTTTAATGTTTCCAGATTGTTACTTAATAGTTAATAATCAACCCACTACTTGAGCTCACATTTGGTTTTCCAGGAACTTAATATATTTGTAAAGTTACTGGAAATCGGGTGGAAAACCTTTACAAATAATAGTCAATTGAGTGTTAGCTGAATTCACCAAACAGTGTGCTTCCACATAATTAACTGTGAATTACATGGTTCAGTGAAATTTACAAATAATAAAAATGTAAAAAAGAAAAAGGGTGATTGGGTAATGTAGCCCAACTCCTTACTAGGGAAGAATTGCTTTATATGGTATTTTCAAATGCCTTAACAAGTTAACAAGGGAAATAACTCTCTCAGATTTGAAATGCAAGACAGAGTTGAAAAAAAACCAACCAGATTTTATTCCTGACTTGGCAACAGATTTTCCATGTGATCCTAGCAGGCCAGTTCAATAATCTGTAAAATATGAATACACACACACACACACACACACACACACACACACACGTGTGTGTTTCTGTAAAGCTAAATTCATTTATATTTTTACATCAGTTTGACATCCTTACATTGAAGGATCTGTAGAAGTACACAAATAATTAAGACTTGCTAACAATGCAAGATGACAAAATAATATACAGTTTGTAATGTTGGCAATGTGCACTGCAATACTCAAGTACAGCTAAATGTATGAAGGACAAAGCATATCTGGTACACAGAAAAGAAAATGCATACATTCTTTCTATAAAGTCTTAGCTGCTACCTAATGTCAAATCCAAGTAGGCTTTGTAAGAGAATGTCAGTGTTATACAGGCAAAGGTTCCAGGCTGAAACAAGTACCATCTGAGAATAAAGAAGCAGACTTATGATCTGGAGCATGTCTCTAGAGCTCGACAAAGAATTTATATAAAATATAAATAATTCAAATTCTACATTCACAGAACACCTTATTTACAAGGGAAGTATGTGATCAGGAGGAAGGATGTACCAAAGTGCAAGCGAGGCTATAAAAACTGAAAGACAAATTTATTTTTTTTTTCTTTTTGTTGAGGAAGGATTAAACATGATGAGCACCAATTTTTTTTTCTTATTTCAGCTTCCTGGGAACAACACTAAACAACTAAAGGCTCCTCAACTTAATTTTATTGATCAGAAAAGCATAGGAATCATTGAATATTATCAATGATTCTCTAGCAACTCTTGTGGCTAGCTCGCTTCTCAGAGGAAAATAACCTCTGTCCAATATGAGCAAAGAAACAGCAACAGCCACATGTGAAACATATGAAAATACTGGTATGGTTCTGATACCAGTGTAGACAGGATCCAAATAATCTGAGTACAAGCCAAATAGTGTGTTACCTTTAGGAAGAAAAAAAAAAAATGAGGCAGCAGTGTCCTCTTAATTACTGTTAAAACCATAAAACACAGTACAACTTCATAATACCATGAAGGAAGGGTTATTCTTACATCATACTTGAACTATGAAATCACAAAGGCTGGAAGACTTACTGAAAGGTGTTGTATCAGTAGGGTCAGGAGGTGGAAAGTTTTCAGTGAAGTTGACATTACACAAGTCAGTGCTACAACAGCAGAAGCGATATGTTCCATTCTGAATCAAGGAAGGGGTGGTTGTTACTATACACTCCTCAAAATGACACTCTTGTGGATCTCCTATATGAGACCAGCATCCTGTAAAAGGAAGCAAGTGAAATGGCACTAAAATAAACACCTGTAATAAAATCAAATGTCATATAAACTATATATTCTTATCAATACCTCTCATACTTGTACAGGAAAGAGAAGGCACCTGCTTTGCTCTCCCCATCCTAAAAACCATTAGCCTTATATCATTTTGTATCTTCAATTGCCTAGCATCTCTTCTCCCCCGTATCTCCAAACTCTATCTATAACCGCTATTCAAAATGCTTCCCTTGCAATTCTATCTTAGACATCCTCCAATCCTTCCACCTTGTATACAAACCTGAAAAATTCTTATCAGAATCTCCAATGCCCCAGGCCCAATTTCAGGGCCAGTGCTCCACCTGCTTCTCCGATTTATTAACTGCCTTTGACAACTTTGAACATGATCTTGAAATCTTGGCCCCCTCTCAACTTTCATGACTCCCTTCCTTGGTTTTCCCACCCCCTCTCAGATGTTTTTAGTGATAAAGTTGAGCCTCTTAACCCTTACTATTCCCCGGTCTATCTTACATGGGACTCCCACAAGTTTGCCTCATTATATCTTTCTTTTCTTTTTTTTCCCCACACCATTTCACTAGGTTTTACTGTCTGCTACTAAGACCTCAGTGACTACATTCCCACTAGTGACTCAAACTTACTTCTCTCTGAACACCTCTCCATATCCTGCATTTCTGCCTATCTTTCTAAACATCTCTTCAGGGGTGGCCAACTGTCAGCTTCAACTCGACAGCCCAAACTGATTTCTTAATCTTTCCACTTTACCCATTTTTCTGACCTCTCCTCACCAACACCACCAAAAGAACCAGCTTCTTGTCTTTACCTTTAAGGCCTGTAAAACTTAATACTGTCCTACCTACTGATCTGGCAAATTTTTGTGATGTTCCCCCATTAGTTTCCTTTCATTACTATTCCAGTGTTTACTGCCCACACATTATCTTTTGCTAATGCTGCCTTTATGCCTAGCACAAGTCATTGAAAGCATGTGAACATATTACTTTCTTTTTCCTTCAAATCTCTTTAATCCTTATTTCTGCTGTGCTGTCTATAAACCTTTACATCCACTGGTCCTGACTGAGTCTTATAGTGCTGCTGTGGCCATGATGGTCTAAAGAGTATGTAAGAAGCATGGTTTGCACGGTGAGGCAAGATCTTTTATTGGGCCAAATCATATTTGAGAGAGATGTTAGACAAGCTTACAGACACAAACACCTCAGGTTAGAAAAGAAGCTGATGCAGCTTGAGCTAAGTAACAGTGAGAACAACTACTTTTATTGGTGAAAGTGACCATTTAAAATGGAAAGTTGGCAGAAAAGTGTGGAGCAAAGAAATGATCAGAACCAATTACAAACCAGGTAAAAATAGTTGCTGGAGTAAAACCTAATTATGTGAATAAGATCTTTGATAGGTAGGTGATAAGTTGCTGCTACCATTCTTTC